AATCTTCTATTTAGATAAGCTATTGTTGTGAAATCAATTTTTTTTTGTTTGTATAAGCTATGAAATCTGAAATTGATTTCATTGGTAGAAAATTGTTTTATGCTATGAAATCAGAATCCAACTGTTATGAAATTCTTTTTTCTATATAATCGTGCTATTTTTATTTAGCACGATGTTGATTTCATTGGTAGATAATTGTTATTTATGTTTTAGGATGTTGCTTTGGAACGAGTGTGAGGATAAAACCTTTCTTGATGCATGTATCCACGAACTAACCACTAATGGTCGTGAGGAATCTGGGCTTAAGGCAAGTTCATGGAAGACAATAAGCGAAAAATTGATAAACGAACACGGTAAAGAGGTTGATCAGAAGCAAATGAGAAACCACTTTGACTACTACAAATCAAAGTATGTTGCTTGGGTGAAACTGAAAAACAAAACCGACAATATATATATATATATATATATATATATATATATATATATATATATATATATATAAAATAAATTTAATCTGACCGAAGAACAATGGAAGGAAGAGGGGAAGGTAATATTTTTATAGCAAATACCAGTATGATTATTTTTATAACAAATACTAATATTTATAAAAATTGTAAACAGTTGTACACGTTCGTGTTGTCTTTGAAAATTAAACCCCTGCTGTTCCCTGATCTTTGCACCCAACTATTTGAAGGATCGACCACAACCGGATTTCAAAGTTGGGGGCCATCTTCTACACTCCTTCGTCCTGTAGAAGAGTTTAGTGCCCATGATTTTGATGATGATGTTCCAATGGAAACCTCAACACAACACGTAGGTGCAAGTGAAGAATCTTCGGGATGTTCAAAAAATACGGAAGTTGGTGGAAATAAAAGAGTTGGTGGAAAAAAAGATATGCAAGGGCATTATAAGTTGAAGAAGAGATTGTCGAGCTTGCAAGGTCGTTGGTGGAAAAAAATGAAATAATTGAAAAAAGTGAAATAGATAAGGATGTTGATGCATGTATGGAGAAATTGAACAAAATGGAATGGGGAGAAGAAGATGAAAGACACAAGACTGCTCTTTTGCTATTTGATGAAAGTGTCGATGTTAGGAAAGTTTGGTCACAACTTTCGCCTACTAGTTGTGAGTCGTGGGTGATGGGTGCGGGTAGGAAGTTTGGTTACCTTTGATGATGTTTACTAGTTTTTTGTTGCATGACTTTTTGTTATTTGCATGATTTTTGGGTGCTATGTTTGATGACTTTTTTGGATGTTATGTTTGGATGCTACTTTGGAGGATGTTTACTAGTTTTTTGTTACATGACTTTTGTTACTTTGGATGGTATGTTATTGAATACTGAATATGACTTTTGTTATTTACTAGTTTTTTTGTAATAGGTCAATTATGGTTTCTGATGGTGAAGTTGTAGCTTTTCTTTTACTTGTGTTTTATTGGTTGAGGTCAAACCGGCGTAGGCTAATCATAATTCATAGAATAAGAGATAATGTCACACCCCCGAACCAGGACGACGGAAACGTCCGGGGGCGGTTGACGTCATTGTATAGTATCATAACAATTGAAGATAAATGAAACATAGCAACCAAGCAGCATACATTGAGATTACAAACTTACAGGGTTTACATAATGCATCTATTCATAAGTTACACAAAAATAACAGAAAAGTAAATTCCATAATGCTGCATCACTTGATCTCAAAAGAGTTGAATTACCTGTTACTGGTTCCCTGAGAATACAAGTGATTTTGAAAAACGTCAACATTGAATGTTGGTGAGTTCATAAAAATATTTGTATGAAAAGACTTGTATCTATTTTGAAAAAAAATGGTTTGTATATCTCCAGAAAATCTGATATTTTCTATGAAAATGAGTTGTAAGTTTTACACCAAAAACTGAGAATATATGCATGTACGTCCTTTGTTTCTTTTACTTGTAATTGTAAGATGTACGTTCCCAGAAAATCCAATATTTTCTGATGTATGAAAACTGTAGTCTTAAACCTAAGACCCAAAAATGTATGCAATCGTGTACTGAAAGTGTAGTATACAGTTTTATATTTTAATAAAATCGGTGAAGTGTAAGCTTCCCATAAACCAAGATAGTATTGTTAATCCCTAAGTGAGTTATTATAACCATGCTTGATGTGACTGTTATGCCTGTACGGCGTTCTTCAGGCGTCGGAATAGGTAAGATATTTGTCACCCTAGACTGAACTGTCTAGCTGTAGCGAACAGCTCAGGTGTGGGGTTGTCAATCCCCGTATAGATCTATACACAACTATCTCGCTCTCTCTCCAGGAGACTCTGGTTATAATATAGGACTTAAAAATGTACGCTAGGTAGGTACGGTGAAGTGTATGTCTCACTAGAGCATTAACGGATTTACGCGAACTACGACTTCCTTTTATTGTATAACGAAATAATTTAACTATTTAAAAATTTATGATGGTATTTTATGACACACGTTTTATGAGTTTCATGTCATACGTTTTATGACATGTGTCTTATGACATGTGAAATATATTGTCATCAATCTGATTTGTATACCATTTTGTGTAAACTGTTTATAACACTTTATATAAATAGTCTATAGTGAATATGTTTAGTAGTAATATATGTAGGAAAAATAGCATAATATTCTTGTATTTAACCCTATCAAAAAAATGACGACAATAATCACGACAATTTTTACTAGAAAAGTTTATTTTTAGTAAAAATCACTCAAAAATTTGTAGGGTTGCATATCTCGTATTTTTCCGGTTGAACTTGCGTAACATAAAATAGTTGAATTTCGTCATCTTTACCATATGGTTCACGATTTTTATAAAAAAAATAAACTATATGGTGATTTCAACATTTTATACTTATATAAATTTTACTTTATAAAAGTAGTACATGTAAATATCCAAAGATCAAACATTTTTGGACTTAGATAAACATATGATTTTGTTATACTTCTATATATATACTCATAACCACGATTTAAAAATGATGATTTTAACATATGTCACGATTTTCATGATGTTAACAAATGATATCAACCATATTATACAAGGAATTGTTCTATATTTAACATATAATCATAGTGCATGCAAGTGTCCAAAGGACAAACTCATTTTAACTTATAACAAGCTTGTAAATCATGATTTTTATGTGTATATGCATGAGGTTTTCGATATCATGTGCACAAATCATTCCATAAACAAGTTGGTACATGCAAATATCCATTGGGTAAACGAAACTTGACTTGTATCCCCCCCCCCCCCGAAAAGCATCAAAAACACGAAAACTTGGGGGTATGAAGCTCACCTTGGTTATTTTGTGCGTGGTAAGGGGAGAGTGAAGAAGATTTCGAGCCTAGCTTTGAGCTTGAAAGGCTTCTTGAAGATGTTGGTGTTCTAGAATGCTAGCACACGAATAATGTGTGTGAACATGAGAGTATCATCATAAAGTTTACATAGAAAAGCTAGAAGTTCAAGAAATAGCTTACCAAGAGTCCTAAATTTCAACTTGATGATGTCTATCTTGGAGAGATTGAATGAACTTTTGAGAGAGAGAACAAGAGTTTGTGTAGAGAATAAGTGACAAGAGTGGAGGGACTCTACTCTCGGCCGTGTATAAGAGGGTGAGGGGGTGATCCCCTTTAACTTTACACATTGGTTACATAAGAGCCATGCATGGAAGTATGATGGTTTGTAGGAGGTGTTGCATGGTTGTTTGATGGAAAAGGGAGTGTAAAGGAATGAGGTGTCACTCCATTGTAAATTCAAACCTTTTTTTTGTCTAATCCTAACCGAAACCTTATGGGGGTTTTCGGTTTTTGGTTGGCTAAATCCATGGTTTTTCGGTTTTAGGGTGGCCGAAAACACCCTCCACTCACACTAGGTTTGTATTTTTTAGAGATATGGGTTCTTGTGTTTGACATGGCCCAAATAAAAGAGCTTTCGGCCTAGGGTTATTTGGGTCGAGAACCTCTAAGCAAAGGCCCAACAATTTGTTTTTGGTTCAGCTATTAGATCAAACTTGCGCTTATAATAGGCTATTACAACTTGATTCTTAATGTATGCATATATGTACATATAACATGGCCGTTTTTGAAATTTCAATAGTCTAATGCAACAAGGTTACATAGAGAAGTTGTTTGTACATGAATGAAATCTCGACCCTAAATTTGCTAGTTGTGACATCATCCCCCCATTAGAGGGAATTTCGTCCCGAAATTGGTTTTAGAGCGGCCTTCAAGGACTAGGGAAGAGATGTGGATACTTCTGCTTCATCTGGTCTTCGCGTTCCCATGTGAACTCAGGTCCTCGTTTGGCACTCCATCGAACCTTCACAATGGGAATACGAATTTGCTTTGTTCGTTTCACTTCCCCGTCCATTATTTCAACGGGTTCCTCGACAAAATGAAGGTTTTCATTTACCTCAATTTCATCTAGCGGGACAACGAGGGTTTCGTCAGATAGACATTTCTTGTATATCTTTTACTCCACTGTTATATATGTTAATGGTTCTTTTCATCACTTCAAACATGTTGCTACTATGCGTGAGTTTCATGCTTTTATATTTAGTTTTTTTTTACTATATAATATCTTTAAGATCTTGCAAAAGTAACTTATGTGATTCTTATAATACCTGTTCTTTATTTAGGGTAGTAAGTTTTGTAATCGATGCATGTGTTTTATATATTAATATGATGTTTAATCCTTTGAAATAAATACTTTGTTTTTTTATAGATTTTCATTGCCATGACATCAAAATTTGTTACATTAGTATGTTATTGGGATGGAAAAAATTATGACGGAGAAGAAGGTATAACTTACAACAAGTCTGCGAATAAAGCTTTCAAGGTTCAATGCGGAATACAATTCAATGAACTCATCGATCAAATCCATATTGCTACGTCGATTGATTTAAAGTAATTTGCAGATATCCATCGGTTGTTCGAAAAGTAATGACATATATTCCTCTCTCAATTACGGATGACAATGACGTTGAGATCATGTTTGATGCGTTTAGTCTCCATCAAGAACTAAGTAATATTGATCTATACTTAGAAGTTGAAGTCAATGGCATTAAAAATCACATAGAGATAACACCAAGGTATTGAAAACTAATTTTCTACATTAATTTTCAAAGTGTTGATAAATGTGATAGTAAAATTAAAATTCTAGTCAACTTGACCAGCATTACTATAGTCTAGGGGCCAACTGTAAATAAAGAAAAAGTGGCTTTACACCACATTTAGACGGTACCAACGTAAAGTTTTGAGTTATTTCTTTTTTGTTATCTCACTGTTTCTATACATTCATACACAAGGAATAGATTTGGATCATCTTTGTTCCATCTCTAAACTTCTTGATATCTTCATAATTATTTTTCATTACTTCCACGACAATGCTAAGTTTTACTTTTATTTTTGTTGATTTTTTTTATATTAACTACAGATGTCGAGAAACTTTTTCGATAGAACAAGAAAGGGACACAACTTTATCACAGGCTATGATTCATACTAATGGTGTGTCAGACATGATTCAAAATGAGGACTTCGACATGATTTCACACTTTTCCGTTGTGACCAATGGAATTGATAGTGGATTTGACATGGACAATGAAGACGATGAAATTGGTCAAGAAGATTTATATGATAATGATAATGATAGTGAAGGAGATGCAAATGTAGAGGGAGATGGCATTAAGGCACCAACTGGTTTTACAAGTTTAGAAGGAATAGATGTGGCTAATGTTGACAATTGGATGATGTCACACTCTGAAAATACAAGTGATTTAATTCAAGAGTTAGGAGAAAACTCTTTTAAAAGTAAGGAAGAACTTATCAGAACCATCAAGCTCTACACGATTAGGAAGCACCGACAATATGAGGTTATTGAAACATGTCCAACTATATGGAAGATAAGATGCAAGTTATGTTCACAAACTGGTTGTAAGTGGCAATTGCGTGCATGTAAATGTCAGCGTAGTGGGTATTTTGAGATAACACGATACACAGGTCCACATACTTGTTTTCAAAATATGATTACTCAAGACCACCCAAATCTAGATGCAAGCTTGATAACTCAAGAAACAGAGCACCTTATTAAGGAACAACCATCTATTAGTGTCCCTACTTTGAGAGCCGAAATAATTGATAAATTAGGATACACTCCTTCATACAGGAAGGTTTGGTTAGGAAAGCAGAAGGCGATTGAACGAATATATGGAATCTGGGAGGAATCTTATATTATTTTACCAAAATTTCTTACTACACTCCAATATTTTAATCTTGTAACTATAGTTGAATGGTGCACTGCGAGATCAATTGATGTGGATCAGATGGAGTCCAACCTTTTTTTTGGGCTTTTTCTCCATCTATAAATGGATTTAAGCACTGTCGACCTGTTATTAGCATTGACGCGACAGATTTATATGGCAAGTACAAGGGAAAGATGATGATTGCAATGGGACTTGATGGTAACAATCAAAATTTTCCTCTAGCATTTGCTAATGTTGAGAATGAGTCATATAGTAGTTGGCATTGGCTTCTTAATCATGTCAAGAAGCATGTGGTAAAAGAACGAGAGGGCATTTATTTAATATCTGATCGTCATAGTGGAATACTAAAGGTTGTTAATGAGCGAGGATCTCCCTGGTTGGAGCCATATAGTTTTCACAAGTATTATTTATTTTATTTCGTTAACCACTTTTATGGTACGATTAATTTATAAATGACATTTGAAAATATTTTTACAGGTATTGTTTGCGACATTTCGTCAACAACTTCCATGACAAGTTTCGTAACTCACAATTGAAAGTTTTAGCTTACCGTGCTGGGAGTCAGAACCAAGTTCGTACGTTCAACTCCATTATGGAAGAAATTGGAAAACTAAATGCACAAGCTCGCCAATGGATCGAGGGGCACTCACTTTGTAGATGGACACTTGCACATGATTGTGGAAAGCGTTATGGATTGCTCACTACAAATATGTCAGAGATTTTCAACAGTGTACTTAAAGGTGCTCGTTTTTTTACCAATCACTTCATGTGTCCAACTTACATTCTATAGATTGGTTCACTACTTTGATGTCAGACGTCTTTTAGGATCAACTGCTCAAGCTAAAGGAGATATGTTTACACCCCATGTGCTTGTAAAAAAAGTAATATCAATGTCAAAAGCTATGCACACAACTTGAAATCATTTAACCGAGCAAAAGGAATTTTAGAGGTGGTGACCTAGAAAGGAAAAAATGTGCAAGTTGTTGATTTGGAGAAAAAATCTTGCACATGTGGTAAGTGGGAGGCATACAAATATCCATGTTCTCATGTATTGAGTGCGTGTGCCTATCTTTCTTTAAATAATAGTCAATATATTCAACAATATTACTCAATTGTTAAGTATTCGGCTACTTAGGCATCTGAGTTTTTCCCGGTTCCTCATGAATCATATTGGCCGGAGACAACTATTCAAGGAATGCTTCCAAATTCAGAGTTAAAACGAAAGGAAAAAGGTCGTCCTCGCTCGACAAGACTACAAAATGGAATGGACATTAAAGATGGGAAAAAATAATCTTTGTGGAACTTGTAGGCAACCTGGTCATTATCAGAATACATGTCCTTCCAGAACAAGAAAAAGATTTGCTGATCCATAATTGTGTTTATTCGAGTAGGATTTCTGAATTTTTTTGGTATTTTATTTTAAATTTATCCACTTTATATTAATAATATATATATTGTTGTAAATAATTGGTGGATGACATAATAATTGGTGCATGGTAAATTTGTCAACATTTCTAACTAGTTACAATTATATGTTAGTAAAATTTGTAGTATAAATACCCCTCCATTGTAAAGAATGAAACACACCAAAAGTTATAAGAGATATAACTTTCATATTCTCTCTAAATATTCTTTCTTCTCAATTAAAGTTCTTATCAAAGTTTACTAGTTTGGTTTGATTTATAGTTACATTAATTACGCTTAATTCATAACACGTTATCAGCACGAAAGCTTTAATCAAGGTTATTAAACAAGTGGAAAATCACATCTATTTTAATCAAGGTATGTATTACTTATTAAAAACACTATTAATTATAAAAACCTCAATAATATTAAAATAATAATAATACTAATGAATTAACGAAACTTATACATTATGGACATTATGGACTACTAACAATTTTTATTTCTTATACTAACATTTCTTTATGTATTCTAATTTTTATACTAACATTTACATTATGCAACTAACTTTTATTTATGCATACTAACATTTATATTATGCTACTAACTTTTATTTATGCATACTAACATTTATATTATGCTACTAACTTTTATTTGTGCATACTAACATTTAAATTATATTTATTTATACATGTCAATGTTTATTTATATTTTAGATACTCTTCATAATTTTATTTAAACATTTACTAATATTTATTTATGTTTCTAATTAGTAAAGTTATGTATTAGTTATAAGTCTTATTACATGATTTATAAAATACATATACATATATACACAACGGGAATATATATGCAACAGTTATAAACAGCAAAAACAACGGCTATATTTTTTTTACCATAAATAAACATCTTTACCCTGCTTATTTTACCCACAACAAATTTTTCTCTCTTGTATCAAATAAATCAATTTCAAGAAATCAAGCTTCAAGATGATTCATCCTTTTGTGATAATCATGACTATAATAGTCATGTTACTTTTCATCCCAATCCTTAACATCGAAGATAATATGGAATTTCATCTACTTTTAGGCTTGTATGCAATGTCAGCTTTACCGCTTCTTTTTTGTGTAATATTTATTGAAATAAATGGATTTTAATTTTAATTTTAATTTTGTTTAAAATTTATAGTTACATTATGTCCAACATTGCAAAGCTCAAGTTTGCAGCACTTGAAGTTAGTGGGAAAACTATGTGCCATGGATGATAGATGTAAAAATGCATCTTGAATCCATGGGTATCTCAAATACTATATATGAATTTAATAATTGCTTGGCACAAGACAAAGTAAAAGCACAAGTTTTCCTTCATAAACATATTGATGAAATGTTGAGATTTGAATATCTTGATGTTACTGATCCAAGTATTCTCTGGAATCTTTTGAAAGAAAGATTTGATCATCAAAAGGAAGTTATACTTCCAAATGCTAGAGATGAATGGAGAACACTAAGGTTTCAAGACTTCAAGAAAGTAAATGAATACAACTCAGCTTTGTTCAGAATATGTTCACAACTCAAGTATTGTTGACAAGAGGTTACTGATGAAGATATGTTGGAGAAAACTTACTCAACATTTCATGCAACAAACATTACTTTGATGCAACAATATCGGATGCAAAAGTTCACAAGGTATTCTGAACTGAATGCATGTCTGCTCGTTGCAGAGCAAAACAATGAACTCTTAATGAAAAACCATGAATCTCGTCCAACGGGATCAGTAGCACTTCCTGAAGCAAATGCTACAAATATTGATGGTCATCGAAACAATACACGTGGACGAGGGCGAGGTCGTGGTCGAGGGCGAGGCCGTGGCTATTTTAATCGAAACCAAAGCCAAAATCAGAACCATAATTCTGGTCGTGGACAAGGTAATAATCGTGGTCGTGGCCAGAAAAGAAATAATTACCAATATTCACAAAGAAACAATGTCCACACACAAGATAAGGCCAAAGTGGCAAGGCATGACACTGGGACATCACAAAAATCTGATGGTTCATGTTATAGATGTGGTAGCACAGGCCATTGGTCAAGGACCTGTCGCACACCTGCACATCTTTGTCAACTTTATCAAGAGTCCATTAAAGGAAAAGGAAAAGGAAAAGAAGCAAACCTCTATGATAATGTTGAATTCACTCCGCTAAATGTTGCTGATTTCTGCAATGACATGGAAGACATAAACTAAAAAAAAAATCTATTATTGTTCTAGTAAAACTGTTTTTCCTTCGTTTGTTTTTCATGTAATGTCTTTCCTACAATAAATGAAATTTCTTTTTAATAATAATTATGATTATGTTTATTCACTTATTATTCCTTTTATATGTGAAGTTTAATATGAGTCCAACTGGAGCACAACACCAAGAAAAGATTGGAGATCTTTGTATAGCAGATAGTGGTAGTACACATACTATTCTGAAATCAAAGAAATATTTTTCAGAATTAGTACCAACAAAAACAGTCATACATACAATATCAGGTCCTGCAGACTTGATAGAGGGAACCGGGAAAGCCCATTTTATATTACCAAATGGTACAAGCTTTTGTATAGAAAATGCCTTATTTTCTCCAAAGTCTAATAGAAACTTATTAAGTTTCAATGACATATATTTCAAAGGATATGACACAAAAACTGTGACCATTGAAAATAAGAAATATATGTATATTATAGACACAAACCATGTGCTTGAAAAACTACCAACACTTGATTCAGGTCTGCATTATACATATATACATATGATTGAATCAAATATGGTAGTCGAAGGAAAACATTGTGATCCTGGGACATTCAGTTTATGGCATGATAGGTTGGGCCACCCAGGATTAACAATGATGCGAAGGATAATTGAGAATACACATGGGCATCCATTGAAGGACCAAAAGTTCCCTCAATCCAATAGCATAAAACCATGTACATCTTGTTCCCTTGGAAAGTTAATTATAAAACACTCTCCAATGAAAGTTGAAAGGGAGTCACCTAGATTTCTAGAAAGAATTCAAGGTGATATATGTGGACCGATTCACCCACCATCTGGACCATTTAGATACTTTATGGTCTTAATAGATGCATCCAGCAAATGGTCTCATGTTTGCCTATTATCAACTCGTAATATGGCATTTGCAAAGTTTCTTGCCCAAATTATTAAATTAAGGGCACATTTCCCTGATTATACTATCAAAAGAGTGAGACTTGATAATGCTGGTGAATTTACTTCACAAGCATTTAATGACTATTGTATGTCTGTAGGAATTGTTGTTAAGCATCCAGTTGCTCATGTACACACACAAAATGGTTTAGCTGAATCACTGATTAAACGTCTCCAGCTAAGAGCTAGACCATTGATAATGAGGACCAACCTTCCTGTTTCTGTTTGGGGCCATGCAATCTTACATGCTGGATCATTGATACGCATGAGACCAAGTTCATATCATGTATATTCTCCACTATAACTTGCTTTCGGTCAAGAGCCAAATATATCCCATTTGAGAATTTTTGGGTGTGCAGTATATGTCCCTATTGCACCACCTCAACGGACAAAAATGGGTCCTCAAAGAAGGTTGGGAATATATGTTGGTTATGAGTCGGTCTCTATTATAAGATATCTTGAACCATTAACAGGTGATGTTTTCACAGCACGCCTAGCAGATTGTCAATTTGATGAGGCAAATTTCCCATCATTAGGTGGAAAAAAGAAGATTCTGGAAAAGGATGTGTCATGGCATGAGCCTACTTTATCATATCTTGACCCTCGCACAAAGCAATGTGACATGGAAGTTCAAAAGATAATGCATTTCCAAGAAATGGCAAATCAATTACCTGATGCATTTACTGACACAAAAAGGGTGACTAAATCATATATACCAGCTGTCAATGTTCCAGCTCGAATTGACATTCCACATGGACAATCTGATGATAAAGTCACTCAAGAGTCTAAAACACGCCTGAAGCGTGGAAGGCCATTTGGTTCTAAGGATAAGAACCCACGAAAAAGAAGAGGAGCAGAAAATGCACTAGATCACGATGAAAGTGTTCCTGGAGAAACACGAATTATTCAAATTCCCCCAGGAAAGGAGGATGATGCATTAAATTATGGTTAGACAAATAGAATATGTGACCAAAATGAAACTAACAATATAAGTGCAATATTTTCTTATTCAGTTGCATGTGATATTATGAATGATGATCCCGAACCACAATCTGTCATTGAATGTCAAAGAAGAAATGATTGGGCTAAATGGAAGGAAGTTATGCAGTTGAATTAAATTCTTTAAACAAGAGAAAGGTTTTTGGGAACATTATCCTCACACCTGAAGTTGTGAAACCATTAGGATATAGATGGATCTTCGTACGAAAAAGAAATGAGAAAGACGAAATTGTAAGATACAAGGCCAGGCTTGTTGCTCAAGGTTTCTCTCAGAGACCTGGAATTGATTATGAAGAAACTTATTCACCGGTAATGGATGCAACCACTTTCAGATATTTAATCAACTTGGCAGTATCTAAAAATTTAGAGATGCGTCTTATGGATGTTGTTATAGCTTACTTGTATGGATCACTTGATAGTGATATCTATATGAAAATCCCTGAAGGATTTAAAATGCCTGAAGCATTAAGTGCAAAACCCAAAGAAATGTACTCTATAAAATTACAATGATCTTTGTATGGGTTAAAACAATTTGGGCGCATGTGGTACAATCGTTTGAGCGATTATTTGACAAGTAAAGGTTATAAAAATAACACTATTTGTTCATGTGTATTTATTAAGAAAACAACATCTGGATATGTGATCATAGCAGTCTATGTTGATGATCTAAACATCATTGGAACGAATAAAGAAATCCTTGAAGTGATTGAACTTTTAAAGAAAGAGTTTGAAATGAAAGATCTTGGAAAAACCAAATATTGTCTTGGTGTACAGATTGAGCATATGCCTAACGGAATACTCATACATCAATCAAATTACACAGAAAGAGTCTTGAGACGTTTCAATATGGACAATGCTAATCCTTTAAGCACTCCAATGGTTGTTAGATCATTAAATATTGACAAGGATCCATTTCGTCCATGCGAAGAAAATGAAGAAGTCCTTGGTCCAGAAGTACCATACCTTAATGCAATTGGAACTCTTATGTATCTTACCAATTGTACTAGACCTAACATTTCTTTCGCTGTAAACTTGCTAGCAAGATTTAGTTCAGCCCCAACAAAAAGACATTGGAATGGAATCAAACATATTTTTCGATACCTTCGAGGAACTAGTGATTTAGGGTTATTTTATCCTAACAATTCAAAAGAGAAAGCTTAATTGGTTATGCAGATGCAGGTTATTTGTCTGATCCTCATAAAGCTAGATCTCAAACTGGATACGTATTCATGAATGGAGGTACCGCAATTTCCTGGCGTTCTCAAAAGCAAACACTTGTTGCCACATCCTCAAATCATGCTGAAGTAATTGCACTAAATGAAGCTAGTAGAGAATGTACATGGTTGAGATCAATGACACATCTAGTTTTAACTTCATGTGGACTTGAAAAAGATATAGGTCCAACTTTAATATACGAAGATAACTCAGCATGTGTTACTCAAATGAAAGAAGGATATATCAAGAGCGACAGGACAAAACATATACCTCCAAAGTTTTTCGAGTACACTCAAGAGCTTATAAAGAACCATAAAGTTGAAATCAAATATGTTCAATCCAGTAACAATGCAGCAGACCTTTTTACGAAGGCACTTCCTACTGTAATCTTCAGGAAACATGTCCATGGCATCGGAATGCGACATGTGCATAAAATATAATGTGACAGATGTCTAAATAAGGGGGAGTCAACTATACACTGCACTCTTTTTCCCTTCGCTAAAGTTTTTTCCCACTGGGTTTTCTTTAGCAAGGTTTTTAATGAGGCAGTACGTCAAAGTTGAACGCTAAAATGATGTCATCCAAGGGGGAGTGTTGTAAATAATTGGTGGTGTTGTAAATAATTGGTGGATGACATAATAATTGGTGCATGGTAAATTTGTCAACATTTCTAACTAGTTACAATTATATGTTAGTGAAATTTATAGTATAAATACCTCTCCATTGTAAAGAATGAAACACACCAAAAAGTTATAAGAGATATAACTTTCATATTCTCTATAAATATTCTTTCTTCTCAATTAAAGTTCTTATCAAAGTTTACTAGTTTTGTTTGATTTATAGTTACATTAATTACGCTTAATTCATACATATATATATATATATATCTATATATATATTATATATATATAATATATATATATTAATTTAGGTTACATTTACTCGATATGTTTTGAATACATTTCATTTTTTAATATTTATAAAACTTTCACTTTATTATTTTTAACTATTAATTTTAATGTCGTCTCATATCATTTTGTGTCATTATCTATCTCGAAAGCTAAAAAAAAGGTGTTACTTTTTGCACTATGATCTACTAATATAAATAAAGAATAGTGACATGTGGTTGTGGACACAATATAGTGGTTAGCAAACAATGAATTAGTCGAAGACAATTTATTTATTTATTTGTGAAATATAGATTTTCTACACTACGATTTGAGTTTGTTATATTGTATGAAACTAGGTTCCAATCCGTGGAAACCACGAGATAAAAAAGAAAAATAATATTGATAATTAAACATGGTGATGAAAAATCAAAGATTTATAAGATTTTAATAAATAAATAAGATATAATTAAAAATGTTGTCGGTTAGGTTATTATTATTATTATTATTATTGTTATTATTATTATTATTTGCTAATTTGGTTTAACTAATAGTGTGTTGTCGTTTAGTTTAAAAAGGAACTTATTTTGCTAATTTGCGTTAACTAATAGGTTGTTGCTAGTTTGGATTAAAAAACCGTATGTTGGTATGCTTTAAAAATATAAATAAATAAATAAGTTAATTTTTATTTTATATACTTTTTATTAAGAATTGGTAAAAAAGAATTGGAAAATATATCTACCAATATAAATATTGAAAATTTAGCTCCAATCAAATCCAACAACATTTTTAACAAAGAGCATAAACGGAGGTAGCATCAATTGTGGTATGAATTCAAGAATTGGTTTGAAAAGATGATGATGAAGCCTCATCAGATTGTTTATAAGACCTTAAACAACCTCAAAGGAACATAACCTCCTCCAGAAGAATCATTAATCCCATATTCTTGTCCATATTGTGCGTTTTAAATACCTTGTTGCTTGCAATTTTCAAAATATCGGCAAATAAATTGTGCTTTTTACAAAACTCAGAGAATTTTCACAGCTTTCACTTTGTAGTTTTGTAGTGATCAACATGTACTTCGATTAAGTTTTGGCAATGAAATATAGCTTGCAAACAGTAATTCAGAAAACTGATTAGTTAAGTTAAAGTTTGGGTTTAATCAGAACTTAGAATTTAGAACTTGAATAACCGATTTGCTTGCTAAGAACCTGCCAAACCAGATAATTTTTCAGATGAGAAATGCTAAGTACCTTCATGAACAGAAGTAATCCAAATAAACACAAAGCAATTAAAAAAGATCGTACAAAACAAATAAAATATATGTGGAACTCTGAACCATACATTGCCCTCGTTGTACATCTTCTTGATTTGATACATATATACTTCATTTTCTTGCTCTGAACCCTAAAAGTAATACCTTAGCACCGATCGACAAAAGATGTCGAACCCAAAAACCTACTGATTAAAACATTCAGTACATGTAGAACACGCAAAAAAAATAAAAAATAAAAAAATAATCCCTTTCGGAAGCGGAATGGATCGATTTGTGGAAGAACAAAATAATTTTCAATTTTAGGGAATGAATCTTGGTGAGTTGGGAGAAATATTGTGACATTACATTCATCATTTATGCAGATCTTGTTAATCAAGACGAAATTTCGGTAAACTGGGAGCTGATTTCTAGGGTTGAAGTTAAAAATCTAACTTGTTTCCGCTTTGTGCAGGAATGAGATTGGACAGATTGAGTATTTGGTAAAAAAAAACTTTGAGCGAGATTATAAATAGGATTATTAATCGGATATATGGTTAGAAGGGCAAATTTGGAACTCTACTTTGAAAACATATGGGTTAAGGAGATGAATGGTGGCAAAAACTAAAAGGTTTCTAGCCCAGCGGTATTGGGTGTTGCCATCCCTCCTAGAGGTTGAGGGTTCTAGTCTCATTGGAGACATAGGTTGGTATTAGGAGTAGTGTAGATTTGCTGTTCTAAAAAAAAGGGTAACAAAAATGAATTCTTTTATTAAGATAGAGATATAACTTTTTAAAAATAAAGAAAATAAATATTTTTGTAGAAAATTTAAATTTGGAGAAATATCTATTACAATTAAAAACTAATACTTTGAATGTTATTCGTAATATGAATTTTTTAACGTAAAAGATTAAGAAAAACAACATTTTAAACCCACTATAAAGTAAATCACATTGTTTTGGTAATTAAATTAGAAAGTACAAGGGTTTTGTAAATAAAAATTCAAAATACCATGGTCAAGATAAAAACTCGACCTTTCCCCACTTTCTTTGTCAGAAACTATAAAACGGGCCTAACACTTTATTTCTTCCTTTATTTTCTCCCGGCCTTTTTCCCGCATAACCCAAGAAATCGCGCTGCATCGCCATCCATCTTCTCCGTTCGTCGTTGCATTAATTTTCCATCGCCGACGCCGTCCATCTTTTCGGAGGAAGTCAGGTAAACACCCCCTTTCTCCCACGAAATCTCTGCTGGACCCCATTTTGTATTTAGTTAGGTGTTTCTTTGAGCCGAAAACCAATTTGTCAACATACATGAACCGGTAACTCATAAATCTTAGAATGAAATAACCGGAAAAACTATGAGTTGTTCTAGAAACGGCATATGACAACAAAGTAAGTGTTCTACCAGGTACAAGCTATGCTTTCTTTATAAAGATATACCCTTGCTTTGCATTGCATACAAGGTGTTTGACAAAACTCCTGAGTGAGTTTTGTGTGTAATTTTACCTGTCATTCCTCTTTCTGTTACACATTGCTCATTAATTACACAAAACTTACAGGACAATCACTATCCAAAGGCTAAGATTTCTATATCGGTGTTGAAAGAGTTGTATATTCTATATAGTGCCCTCAGCCATTCTTTCGATGCTCAGGCTTCTAATTGGAGGTAGGTAAGACACAAAGACTCTTTATTCTTGTCATACATCATCATCTCATCTTCTCATGTTATTATAATCTTTTGATTTCATTTTTTCCTACTTACAGATCTTATTTTTCTCTACCAGATTTCTGCCAAATCACAAAAGCAACTACTTTCCAAACATTCTTTCTTCTGGGCGATTTCTTCATACCCAAACTTCATCAGATGACAGCTGGACCAATAACAATAATAGAGAGCTTAATATCGACCTTCTATTTCACTCATGCACAAAAACCCACCTTGCAAAACGCCTTCACGCATTACTTATCGTATTGGGAAAAGTCCAAAGTCTCTTCATTTCCACAAGACTTGTCAATCTTTACGCCAATCTTGGTAACATCTCTTTATCTCAACAAACTTTTGATCAAATCCCACAAAAAGATGTTTACACTTGGAACTCCATGATATCTGCATATGTTCACAATGGTGCGCATACTGATGCTATCACTTGTTTATACAAAATGTTGACTTTTGAAGTCAAACCTGATTTTTACACATTCCCCCCTGTGATAAAAGCATGTCGTGATATAAATAATGGAAAAAGGATTCACGCATGGATATCAAAAACAGGGTTGGAATGGGATGTCTTTGTAGCTGCTTCTTTGGTTCATATGTATTGTCGTTTTGGTATCTTTGATGCTGCTTATGGGATATTCACAAATATGCCCTTTCGAGACATGGGTTGTTGGAATGCGATAATTTCAGGGTTTTGTCAAAATGGAAAAGGCAAAAAGGCGTTAGAAATCTTGGATGAGATGAAATTTGAAGGGATTAAATTGGATTCTGTTACAGTTTCAACTGTTCTTCCCATTTGTGCACAAATGGATGATATGTCACAAGGAAGATTAATCCATTTGTATGTCATAAAACACGGACTCGAATCCGATCTTTTTGTTGGAAACGCGTTTATAAATTTCTACGCGAAATTCGGTGAACTTGAAAATTCTCAAAAGTTTTTCGATAATTTGGTGACTCGAGATTTGGTATCATGGAATTCAATTATATCCGCGTACGAGCAAAATGGAAATCCGGATCGCGCACTTTGGTTCTTCCGTGAGATGCAAAAAGACGGATTCGCCCCTGACTTATTGACATTAGTAAGTGTTGCTTCGAGTATCGCGCAGTCTAGGGACACTCGAGGTAGCAAAAGTGTCCATAGTTTTATCCTAAGAAGATTTTGGTTTGTAAAAGATGTTATAATCGGGAACGCGGTGGTTGACATGTACGCGAAATTGGGAAATGTCGAAAACGCCCGTGAACTTTTCGAAAGAATTTTGATTAAAGACGTTGTTTCTTGGAACACGATGATTACGGGGTATGGGCAAAACGGTCTTGCAAGTGACGCCATTGAAGTGTTTCAAAATATGGTGGAAAAAAATTTCGTAACCCCAAATCAAGGAACCTGGGCGAGTATAATTCCGGCTTATGCCCTTATCGGAGCGTTAAAAGAAGGGCAAAAAAGTCATTCGAACGTATTAAAAACCGGATTAATTCTCGACCTTTATATCGGGACATGTTTAATCGATTTCTATGGAAAATGTGGAAAAGTGAAAGACGCGATGTTGTTATTTGATGAAGTCCCTAAAACGAATTCGGTCCCATGGAACGCGGTTATCTCGTGTTTAGGTATCCATGGACACGGTGAAACGTGTTTGAAACTTTTTGAAAATATGATCGAGAGTGGGGCCCACCCGGACGCGATAACTTTCATTTCGTTATTATCCGCTTGCAGTCATTCGGGGTTAATCGAACAAGGCGAGCAGTGTTTCAACGCGATGGAAAAAGATTATGGGATTAAACCGGGGTTGAAGCATTACGGGTGTTATGTCGATATGTTAGGTAGAGCCGGGGAGTTAGAAAAAGCGTATGATTTTATAAAATCTATGCCTTTAACACCCGATGCGTCCGTTTGGGGTGCGCTTTTAGGCGCGTGTAGGATTTACGGGAATACCGATTTGGGAAAGGTGGTTTCGGATAAGTTATTGGAAGTTGATGAGGGAAATGTTGGATATTATGTTTTGTTATCGAATATATACGCGAATGCGGGAAAATGGGAAGGGGTGAATAGGGTTAGGTTAATGGCTAATGAAAAGGGGTTGAAGAAGACGCCCGGGTGGAGTTCGGTTGAAATCGATAAGAGAATGGAAGTTTTTTATACGGGGAATTATTCGCATTCGAAATGTGATGAAATATATAAAGAATTGGAGGATTTGATGATGAAGATTAAGGTTATCGGTTATGTTCCGGATTATAGCTTTGTGTTGCAAGATGTTGAAGAGGATGAAAAGGAGCGGATTCTTATGAGTCATAGTGAGAGATTGGCGATTGCGTATGGGATTATTAGTACGCCACCTAAGACGGTTATTAGAATTTTTAAGAATTTACGAGTGTGTGGGGATTGTCATAATGCTACTAAGTTTATATCGAAAGTTACCGAAAGGGAGATTGTTGTTAGGGATTCTAATCGGTTTCATAATTTTAAAGATGGTGTTTGTTCTTGTGGTGATTATTGGTAGTTTCAGGGTGGATGGGTATCAGTCTGTCTGTCATCTAGTGGGTCATTGTGTATCTGACAAGACATTTAAGATTATAAATAGTATTTATTACTTAAAGTTTGAGATCATAAGGTGTAACATGAAAAGATTGTGAACTTGGTATGATTAATTTTATTTTCTAGTATTGTGCTAATTTAGCCTTTTGTTTTCTTAATTCAAAGTTCAAAGTATAGGTAGTACAGTTTTATTGCTTTCTTTTAATTTTTAATGTATTGTTTCATCTCTCGTCATGGTCAAATAAAACTGTATATGGGATGTTGGATTCTTCAATTCTTTTTGTTTTACCTGTCTTTATATGTATTTAGTTATTTTTGTTTGTTTGATTTGAATTGTGGGCAAATAAAAAAAAGTTCAACATTAATTTGGCATCTACAAGGAGAAAATGGGCATTTATTCTTAGTCTTGAAAAAGAATATTTATTCATATTTGATGGAGATTCTGCAAGACTGCGACTATAAAAGTTGACTTATGGTTGTTTTGAGCTATATTTATTATATTTCGCAAACATAAACAAAAGCACCAGTGGTCTAGTGGTAGAATAGTACCCTGCCACGGTACAGACCCGGGTTCGATTCCCGGCTGGTGCATTACGTGAGCTGTGATGTTTCGTGCCCTTTCTGTTGGATGGTTCCATCAACTTATCTGATCTTCAAGAGAAGATATTCGAGGCGTTACTGAGCTCTTTTTTTTATTCTTCCATTTTTTCTTTGGTGTTAACGAATAGGAAGTCATCATTGCCTCTATTTGTACCTTTATAATAGTTAGTGGGATTAATATACTGATAAAGAATATATTATTTTATAATTATAATATTAAAATATGTTTTTAGTGTAGGTTTTACACAAAAATAGTATAAGATATAGTGTCCATGTTAGAATTGGTCTTGGTGATCCAGATGGGAAGTTTTGAACTCACAAGTCACAACTTTATCAACCGATGAAGAAAACTCAATCAACCACCGAGATAGAAATTAAACTATGCTTACCAAATTTTCATATTTTCCTTGATGACTTGCTACAAAAACATGTATTTTGCAGTTTGTTTTAATTGACAAAGTTTAACGCGTATATGTGTATAGGTTGAAAGTATGATGCCTAAATAAATAATTTCACTTTTTTGGGATTCAAGCATGAGATCTTCAAGTAAAAGAATGTATGGCGTGGAATGCTATTCGGATGACATGACTCTATGTAAGGAGTGTGTGTAGGAATTAAGTTGAACTCAAAAGATAATATAATATCTAAAGTAACTCTTTAACAAAGTATAATGCTTTTAAGAGAAATCATTGGGCATGCATGCCTATAGTTGACCAAGAGGTGTGTTCTCTGACAAGAGGATTATAAATAGGAAGGTACATAAATATGCCATTTGATAGTTGGAATTCACGGAGTGTATATAGTTTTGAAAAGAATAAATATCAAACGAACAAAGTACGATGACCGAATTGTAAAACTTTTGTAAAATACTAAAGCAAGATCCTAGGTACAACAATATATGTTCATTCAATTATTCTTATTAGTCAATAAATCTAGAAATATATTCAATTAAGACGCCATGTAGGAAGTGTATGTTGGGATTATGTCTAGTTTTATTGTTTCCTTTGATATTTCTTTTTAGCATTGGCGTTAATGTAATCTTTCATCCCCCATTGATAGTTTAGGCCTTGCCAATTGCCATCTTATGATGGTCTTTTTTTTTTTTTTTTTTTTTTTTAACGGACCATCTTATTATGATCTAATATTACGTACATTGGTATCTTGTATTTTTTTTTTTTTTTCATCTTGTTTTAAGTTATTCTTTAATTCCTTTTGTTTGTTTGATTTATTCTGTGGCCAAATAAACAATCAGTTTTAATTAACATCTAAAATGGGAAATGGGTATTTATTCTTATTTAATATTGTAAGCAAAGAGTCTTTGTTCATATAACCCTTAATCAATACAACATTTGATGAAAAATAAAAGTAGACACATGGACCATGGACCATCGTTTTGTTTCACTGTTTGGTTGTGTGTTAGCTTGGAATTTAAAGAGAAAATAATTGTAGTTTTAAATGGCCATCATCTGGATTCTTCTATAAAACATATTTTTTAGTTGATAAACCATAACATAAAAGCACCAGTGGTCTAGTAGTAGAATAATACCCTGCCACGGTACAGACCCGGGTTCGATTCCCGGCTGGTGCATTTTCAAGAGCTGTGATGTTTCATGCCTTACTGGTGGAGGGGTCCATCAGTCTTGTCTGATATTTAAGTGAGGACATTATAATAGGCCTATCTGAGCTCTTGTATTTTTATTTTTCCATTGATGAAGTTATTACACTCCTTTAATACCAAAAAGATTCGTTAATTTTTATTTCCTCATGGGCAAGTTCATGAAATTGTTATCTGATGAACACATTTGTATGTAGCACCTTTGGACTACATGCTGACAATATAACCATCCCCATTGATTGCTGGATGTGCATCAACTTCTCTCAAAACTTGTTCCAACAATGTTGCCTTATACTTCACATGATTTTGATGAAAAGATTAGATGTGTCGGATCGAAAAAGGAAGCATTACAGGTAGTATGTAGATTTGCTAGGTAGGGCAAGAGAGTTAGAAGGAAAAAAAATGTATGATTTTACAAAATGGATGCCCTTTAAAACCTGACGCCTCTATTTGGGGTGCACTTCTTGGTGTGTGTAGGATTTATATATAGAAATACCAATTTGGGTAAGGTAGTTTCGGATAAATTATTGGAAATTGATTCGGGTAACTTTGGGTATTATGTTTTGTTTTCAAATATATATGCAATTGTGGGTAATTAAATAGGAAAGGGTGAATACGGTTGGATTAATGCTAATGAAAAGGATTGAAGAAGATGTCCCGGTGGATTTAGGTTGAAATATATAACAAATGGAAGTTTTTTATATCGTAAGTATTCACATCCTCAATGTGATGCAATATATGAAGTGTTGGAGGATTTAATTAATGGCGATTATTGTGTATGTTCCGAATTATACTTATTTGTTACAACTTACAAGATGTTGAGGAGGATGAAAATGAGAGTTTTCTTATGACTCATAGTGAGAGATTAGCGATTGAGTATGAGATTATTGAAACGCCACCTTGGAGGATGTAAGAATCATTAAGAATTTGTGGGTATATGTGGATTGTCATAGTGCTACTAAGTATATATAGATTGTTGGTAATTTTAGTGTCACCATGTCATTTTATGTAACTGGAATTAGCATGTGAGCTATGGGGCTTCTTAATTTGTTTTCTAATATGTGTACGGGTTGGTGCGGAGTGCACGCATGTATAAGATCAAATTAGTAGCCGGTTCGACGACTAGTCAGGGGTCCGGGGGGCAGCGCCCCTGCGTCCGGGGTTTCCAAAGGGGCAGCGCCCCTTTGGCGGGGTCTAGGGGTAGCGCCCCTAGCGGGGTCCAAGGGGCAGCGCCCCAAAAGCTCTCCGAATTTTACATATGGGTACATAGTGGGTTATTCTGATTCTTGAGGGTGATTATGGTAAAACTAACAAAACTTGTTAGTTTTGGTAACCCTAAATCCTCATTAAAATTCGGATTACCCTGACTTGTTTCCAAAGGAACCCATAGCGGCCCAACCCTAATGAAACCCTAATATCGTTTATTATATAAACGACTCTTCTTTTCAGAAGAGGGATACGATCTTAAGCTCTCGTTTTCAATATACTTTCACAGAATCCTCTAGCATATTGGCTTACGATTTCTGTGCCTAGAATCGTGAGTGTCCACTTGGATTATCCTAGGCTGAATTTATTGTAACCCAGACATAGGGTAGAAATATCAGTTCGGAAAGTGATATCACGATCCAAGTTGGTATCCAGATCTCCACCACAAACCCTAAATTTCCCTACATAGATTATTGTTAGATAATAAGTATCCTAATCGATATCATAAATTTAAGGATGGTGTATGTTCTTGTGGTGATTACTGGTAATTTCAGTATGAATTGGGCTTTTATATCAGCCACTTAGCGATTACTAGTAATTTTCACTATGTACCTGATTTACATCTCATATCGAAGATCATAAATAGTACTTATCACTTAAAGTTTTAAAGATTGTGAATCGGTTGTGACTAAATTTATTTTGTAGTATCGGGCTATTTTACCTAGTTGTTTTCTTTGTTCAAAGTTTATGTATAGTTTTATTATTTCCTTTTATTTTTATGTTTAGTGTAGGTGACAATGTATTGTTTCATCTCTCATTATTAGTTTACGCTTGCGGCTTGACATTCTATTATGACCAATTAAATTGTGCATGGGCATGTTGGATTCTTTAGTTTTTTTTTGTGTGTTTGATTTAAATTGTGGACAAATAAACAGTCGGTTTGGTTTTTATTTGGCATCAGAAGGGAGAAACATGTATTACTCTATCTCTATTTAGTCTTGAAAATAAAGTGTCTTTATTCAATAGCACTTTCCCTATACAACATTTGATGAAAAAAAAGTAGGCCATCAGTGTTGTTGCATTCTCGCTTGCAATTTAAAAAGGTTATTTTCTGTTAATATGGTCGTTTTGGGTGTTAGCTTTTACAGTTGACGATAACAAACACAAAAATGAAGGGTCCATTAGCTTTGTCTGATCTCAAATGCTGAGTTAATGTTTTTTTTTCTTTCTTTATACCTCAGCTAATCTGTGTACACAAAAATGAAGGCATAGTAGCTAAGAAAAACAAACTAATAACATCAATTTCATTTCAACAAGCTGAAAACTTATTGTTGGGTATTATTGTGTTGCGTCATGGGCTTGTTTTGTATATCCGGATTGGGCCTGTCCATCCGCGATTATCTAGTAGGGTTAGACTATATATAATGCATGCATGTATGCATTAGATACCATCTTGATTATCGTTAATTATCATTTTGTAAACCTAAGCACCTCTACAGTCGAAGTTCTTAATCGAGCTCTTCTGAGGTGTTGAAGTTTTAATCATACGACATATTCAAAGCCATTCTTGTGTTCATAATTACGTTCTTAATTGTTTGTCTGCATAGAATCTATCGATCCTAATAGAACGTTGTTCTAACAATTGGTATCAGAGCAGGAGAC